AATATCTTATGTAAACATAATATATAAATAATATCATATGGTTAAATAACAAAATGCTATCAATGAACAAAAAAAAAAAAATGAGAGATGAAAGTTACTTGAGGCTGAATAAAAAAAATCAGATATATAAACAAATTTTTTTTTTTTAAATATTCATGCTAACCGATAATTTTTAATTTAATTTTAATCACACCGAAATAGTTAAAAAAAAACTGATTTTGTATTATAGCATAATCCATATATCCATGTAGTAATGATATATTATTAAAATATGATAATTTATCTATATAATGGTGGGGCGAGGTTACAAGGGGTTAGGGGAAAGGAGGTGCTGGGGGATGGAGAGGGTTAAGCAATAATTGTACATAGCGATTGTCATTAAAATGAAATTGCAATAAAAATTATAATTTAACTTGAACACATTTTCAATAATATGAATATTTAATTAGTTTTCCGTTGTATACCGATCTTTGACCCTACCGAATTATAAATTTAGTTTAGAATATCATATCTGTGAACTGATAAGAGGAGATAGGCGTTTCTAAATCTACAAAATAGTAAGTAAATAAAAAGCAATTGATAAACAGATTCATAAATTTTCTATAAATTTTCATACTAACCTTTATAAGAAATATCAAGGTTTTGCTTTAGTAAAATTCAACTGATTTTCGTACACATTACGATTTTATTTATCTATTTATGACAATTTACAAATACTTGACTGAAATTCTTTATTTTATCCAAAATTATAAGAAATTTTCGCACCTCATATCGACATCACGCATTAATGATTTTCACTAACTACACAACACAACCTCACCACACTCAACAATAGTGCTGAAAAATTATTGCATAATCAAAACGGATGCAACTATTTATTTTTGATGATTTGCATGCGAGATAGTCTTGTTGAAATTGTATTACATAATTTTTTCTTTTTTTTTTAAGAAATATTACATTGACATATAATAACATCTGATCTGAGACTTGTTTAAACTATCTATTGGTCGACGAGAGAAGGCCCCTGAAAACATGTTATCTTGCGGTTATTATTAGTAGCATAGTCCCAGAAATATTTAACAGGTGCCTTCTTTACAATAAAAAAAAAAAAAAAAAAAAAAAAAAAAAAAAAAATAATAATAATAATAATAATAATAATAATAATAATAAATATACAATATGAACAATCGAAAACAATTTTCTTTTTATTTGAGCTATTTTTACAATCAGTCAGGAATTCAATTTTCACTAACTTGCTAAAGTCTATTCAGTGCGAGTTGATCGATGCGATTTACTATATCTTTCATTGTTTAAGTTCAGTGACTTAACTCTTCAACATTATTTCATTAAATTAAATATGGATTTTAATAATTTAATTAAATAATAATTCATAGATGTTATATTTAGGGGGAGGGGGGAGGGGAAGGAGAAAACATAGATTAAAACATTGGCATTAACCATTTGGTAGCAATTTGGTAGTCAAAAATCGATCGATACCCGTGGGTACTTAATATGATTTAGTAAGAAGATTTATGAGAAGTAAAGACTTTATTTATACGATATATTAATTATTTTGAACATTTTTCATGAGTGATTTTGTTACTAGATCATTACATATATGTATGGTAAAGATTTCGAAAATACACAGGCATTTCAATTTTTTAGATTAGTTTTTAAATATTATACAGTCTCAGAGTTTGAAATACACGATTGATTGTGTATTTATTGACTCAATAAGCGATCAGAAAAATCCTATATTAACAAGGCAAACTTTCCGCAGTAATGAATGCGATAGAGTGTAGTCGTCTAGAAGGCAACTAGAATATTTCAGCTGTGAGTTGAACTCTTAATGAATTATAAGAGTGGAAAAAAGTTTAAAGTAATTGCTTTTCAAAACTATTCACTTATTATGCATGGATCACGATATAAATCGTATTAAGTATCAAGATAAAAATAACATTGTATTTAATCTTTATTTAATGCAGTTAATGACTTTAAATACTATAAATAATTCCAATAGTCGCAGCGAATAAGGCAAATACTTTTTACGTAACTTGTGTAAAAAATACTATTTTTGTCTTATTTTTCCCAATGATTATTCTTAACAATTTTGAATGGAAATAAAATTTTCTTTAAGCGAATGTGCAATATCGGCCTTAACTTTACCATTAGCTGCGTTAATCGAATATTAGTAAAATTTATTAATTAAAAACGTGCGATTACAACAACAACAACAACAACAACAACAACAACAACAACAACAACAACAACAACAACAACAACAACAACAACAACGACGACAACAACAACGACAAAAATCCATACCACTTTGCACCATCGTTTTACCATATACAAAATGTTAGGCAATTATTATTGCTATTTAAGTCCTAGGAAATGTAAATGTCGTAAGCAGGGATATTGCATATTCTCTTAAATAATTAAATAACATGAGCTCATTAAATGCATCGACATAGTACGTACATATTATAACAGTCTTATAATGAAAAGCAAGTTTATTGAAAATATCTGAACAAAAAAAAAAAAAAAAAAAAAAAAAAAAAAAAAAAAAAAAAAAAAAAAAAAAAAAAAAAAATAAAAAAAAAAAAAAAAAAAAAAAAAAAAAAAAAACACAAAAAGAAAAAAAAAAAATAATAATAATAAAAAAATTAAGAAAAAAAAAGATAAACAGGAACAGAATATTAAAACTCAATCATTGTTAAGATCGTTTTCTTTTTCATTTCTTGTTTAAATAATGAGTATAAAAGTACTTTTTTTTTTTTTTTTTTTTTTTTTTTTTTTTTTTTATATATATATATAATTATACAATATCTTTTATGTGTATAATAAGAATAATACATTTCGATGTATATAAAGTCATAAAAATGAATAACACTTAAACCGAGGGAATTAGAATGAAGCGAAGTTGGAAGATTATAAGGATTTAGAATCCATATTATCTTTATTGAATTACTAGTCAATACTATTTCTTTAATTTATTTCATGAATATACACATAATAGAGACGAAATTATACTTATTGTTTAATGATTAAATCATTTTATATTAAGACTTTATTGAAATAATGACTTAAGAAAATTAAATAGCTCGATATTGATAAAAATTAATTTACACTGTTAATTAAGCTGAATCAAATTCAATTTCCTTATACTTTTATATTTTTCTTTTTAAGATATGCAATTCACCAATGTCATTTATTAATTTTGACGGAGGTAAAAATTCATTTCTTAAAAAACTTTTAATTGACTTTAAAACATTTTTATAACATTACATAAGCTAGTCGTCACAGTTTTTCTCATTCAATCGCTTAGAAAATTTTATAAATGCGTAGTTTTAAAAAAACTATGACAAGTAAATTAGATGATCGCGAAAGGGCAAAACTAATATCGCTATGTTAACGCAAATTTAAATTACATTTGAAAAATCGGACGAGACAATTTTAACTTTCTGACTATCGGGCGAGAAAATATTCTCTAACGAAGACTGTTCAATATGTCAAAAGTTATTAAAATTATTACAAAGCTAGTTTATTAAATTTCTCAAGTGGCTGAATTCTTAAATCACAATTGAGAATTGTTAAATAAAATTCAACATGACTGTCCGACTAGAGACAAAATTATATATTTTAATAAGTCAAAATTATAAAACATTTATTTATCAATTTCTAGTATAAAAGTTAAACGTGTAAAATCTGTTTTCCGTATAGTTAAATTTAAAAATCTAAGTTTTTATGCCAAAAACTGTGTTAAATTTTATAAAATATTTGTCCTGAACAATACATTCATCGATAATTAGAAATTTAAAAATCTTGAAACTTCCAAGATCAAATTCGAATTCAGCTACCACAAAATGTTATAAAAACTTAAATATATTAACTTCTGCTCTAACTAATATATATAAAAATAAAATAAAAAACAAAAAACAAAAAAAAAGAAACAAAAAAATTTGTCTACAATCATTTTATCTGATCCTTTATTCAAAGATCTTGCCAAGTAGTACACAATGCTGACAATAGTTTCACAAAATTGAAACCAAAATCCATACTCTTGGGACAATAATATCGACGCAGCCCAATTCGCATTGGGGAAGGGGGGGGGAGAGAATGATCTTCAGCATAAGGTAATAGATCCGGAGGGCTAGATATTTCTGGCCATCAAGAGACGAGATAAAAACAAACGGTAGAGTGTCTGGCCTCGTCGTCCTCCAGCGACTTATTCAAATTCCCTGCGCAGAAGCGAACAGCGAAACGACTCTCCCCACGAGTCGAGCTTAGCAGAACTGCTTAAGGAACGCTTTAAGTAATAGTGCCTTAATGCGACATGGTGCCGAAAAACAAAAACAAAAACAAAAACAAAAAAAAAAACAAAAAAAAAAGAAAAAGAGAGAGAGAGAGAGAGAGAGAGAAAATAAAGGATGTTCTAACAGGATCGACGACAGCAATAATTCTCATAATTCCTAAGTGCGCGTGAAAATATCCGATAATCTGAAAATTGTCGATGAACAATTAAGCACGAGAGCTTTCTTTCATACACTGGTTTCTTCCATCAACGTACGACAGTGTGCTGAAAGCTGCCCATGCCCATATGCATATCGATGCTTTACAACAAAGTGTGGACGATCGAGCCACAATCTCTACGAGTACTATACGAAGAAGGATAGAGGCACAGATTGAAAATGATGCAAACTAGGTGCCACTGTTACGAAATGTCATCCTTGTCAGATACCGCTCTTGTAGCACCCAATTTTGTTGGGTTTGGTCCGCTCGACAGCTTGAGTCCAAAACCATGACCCAACTACGACAAATAGCACAGAAATCTTAGCAGTCTTTTTTTTTTTTTTGTTCTTTTTTTTTCCTTTTTTTCTTTTTCTTCTGTAGAACTTAATAAATAATCTTTTTACAGAAGTGCATTTACTTTTTTGGCTTCCAACACTCGTATAGCACAACTTTTTTTCCGCTTTTTTTCTCTCTCCTTGTTTTTTTTTTTTTGTTTGTTTTTGTTGTTGTTGTTGTTGTTGTTGTTGTTGTTGTTGCTGTTGTTAACCATTACAAATGAACAGCATATTGCGCCAAATTGCGGCAGACGCGAGCCAACGATTAATTAATTATTCAATGAATATTACACGGTGACTCGAATAAATGCTGCTGAGATTGATTCCAAGAGGGAACTCGAGTTCCAAACGCTCCCTTAATAAAGAATGCAACCCCCAACTGGTCCGACAATTTACCTCGATTAGTCTTAACATATCGAAGCGTCATAAATCTGGAAATCTGTAAGGGGAAATATGCAATTAGTTAATAATACCATAAACCAAGCCCAACAAATGTTTTCAGATCCACTTAATAAATTCTCAGTTGAAAAAAAAAATAGATTAATCTCTTTTTACTGTGGTTAGCAATAATTGAAAATAACGGTAAGCAATAGTTTGGTTAAATTAATTTTTTAATTAAGTCTTGAAGCGGAAAATTAGTTACTTAACCAATACAATTCTTAAGAATTATAAATTATAAATTATTTTAGTACAAAATTCCCCCACATGTTTGTAAATCAGTGCTTCGTTTGATTTGATACAAAAAAAATTAATCCTATAGTTTTTCTCAAATTCTGTTGTTATTCATATTTTTATTATTCATTAAATGTCAAAAAATATAATAACAAGCATAAGCAATTGTGAAAAAAAGCATTAGTTGTTAATTTTTTTACATAAAAGTTAATCATATTTTGAAACTTTCTAGAAATTCTTATCTTCAAACGGTCGACGCTGTATGTAGGATCATCAACATAGTCAAATATGTTCCGTAGCATCTGAAATTTATTTTTACATGACCAACTGTTCAATATAATTATTATTCTCAAACTTCTTAACTTTTTATGTACGATGGAATCACTTATGAAAAGTCCCATTTATAATATGAACACCGTAATAACAAAATTAACAAAATTATTTGAATATTGCAAAATTTTATTGCTTACCTAGTGGGATCTTCACAGTAGTCTGACGGTACTCGAAATAATTCTGGATTCATTTCATTTTTAAAAGCAAATTCTTGAAATGTTATCTTCGCCGCGATAGTTGGAAGAATGGGAATATCTATTTTTACTGGAAAACCCGGTGGTAATTTCATTAGCACAAACTCCCTCAGTTTGTTAAAATGCTTAAAAGGTGCGACAACTTCCAGAACATTCAGTAGCATGTCCACGGTTAATGGAAAATCTGAGCTCATTGCCACTGTTGCTTTGAACGATTTACTACTTTCTTTGTACACTAGATTTCTACCTAGTAATGGACACTGACCAGGTAATGCCGAATGGTAATCCTCCCATTTAATATTAGATTCGGGTGGTGGATTTAACGAAGCTCTTCTCATGGGAGGCTGCGAATAGTTTTGGAATTGTTTTATATAAAAACTCTGTGGGTAATATTGCCGAAGCCATGCCAGGTGATTATTTATGATATTCTTACCTCGCCATTTTGAAAACTTTGCGACGAGCCTTTAATCAGAGACTCCATAATGGCTTTATTTTTCTGAAGATCTTCTTCGCTTAAATGCTCTCGCCTCTTTCTACTTTCCAATACCATACCATTAATTTGGTAAAAATCTGCACTGAACGGTCCGACCATTTCCTTAAAATAAACATTATAAAACGACATGTATTTCTTTGCGAATGGAAATTTTAACACAAGCAAATGCACTAACTCTTTTGTCTTCTTTAAAAATCCAGCCGCTCTGCGCTCTTGAAAAAGTTATGCCTTTGGTTGACATTTGAGCTGCCATAATATCATTGGACATCAAGATGTCAACTTCGTCATCGATTTCAAGATCAGTTTCCTGAAAGCGTTTAGTTATAAAAATTTATCGTACCCTTTGCTTCTTCGATAATCGACATTAATAATAATTAAAAATAACCTCGTAACCAACTCTTTGAAAAAGTTTGGCTTTATTGTCAAGTATAGTTAAAGACTTGCTAGGTTTTTGATCTCCATTAAAAATAAAGGATATGTCACCTCTCTCCCATCTCATATCGTTAAAATCCACAAGAGTACTATCCATTCTAATAGAGGCACCACATTTATGTATCCTACAAATGTCTGACGGTAGTATTCTCGAAACTAGCGGTACTATTAAGATAATAATAAATGATTTAGATTCCATACTATTGTGAGCATTATATTTCATTATTTCATTCAAATTTACCCCAACTTTGAAAATCCCATTTCAATTCCATATAAAAATCTCCCATCCGTCGTAATGCTTCTACAAGATTTGGTCTTCTTTCCTCCATTTGTTCTCTTACTTGTTGTTTGAGTTTTCTTACAATAGATGATACTTAAATAAAAAAAAAATTTAAAAATCAGAGTAAAAAATAATTATACCTTATTGCAGCTTTCTTACTGGTTTGTCTATCTCCGTAGCTTATTGCTTCCGCTAAGGGACTCCATCCGGCTAAATTTTTAACTTTAACAGGTACTCCATGAGCCAATAAAAGTTGAACACATTCTAGAAAATAAATTTAACCAGTCGTAATTACATAATTAATTATTACAATATAGGTAGGCAATATTTACCTTTTCTCCCAAGCATAATAGCTAAATGTAATGGTGTATTTCCTAAAATATATCAAATAAGGACATTATTAGATATCGTTGCAAGAAAAGGCAATAAACGAATACATACGTATATATATATAGAATTAAGATTAGACATTGGCAGCGTCTACGTTACCTTGCTTATCTTTTGCAGAAATATCGTGAGTTCGAATTAACGAACTCAGAGCTTTGACATTCCCCTCGAATATGCATTTGTGTATAGGATACTGGTCGTTTTCAGCCATAATTACTCTTATGTTGGTCGATCGACTCGAACCACAATACTATCAATGATAATTTAGGTCAACAACATTTAGGACTACTGTCTATTATAATACACGACGATAGAACTATCGCATCCATGCCAATTACTCTTAATGCTCTCTGCATCGACATCATATGTATCAAACAATTTTTTTCCCATACTTCCCATCCACCTCTATTGTGCTTATTACAAGACATACCTGCACTTATTGTTTTTCGCGAATAATATTTTCAAAAATTCACCATTATTTAACCCTCATCAAATCAGGTGAACCGCAGATATTCATAAAATTGCCAATCATCGCAATAAACTAGAGAAGAATTGCGCCAAAATGACTGTGAATAACTTGGGGTGCACGCGAGGTGTTCCTGAGAGTTTCAAGAGCGTTTTCATGAATGCAAAGAGACCTCGCGAGAGACAATCGGTCGGAGAAATTAAAAAAAATTGAAAGCACAGCACAGCTCTACGACGGCATCCTCGCTTTCCCTAATCAGCAGTCAGGAGTAGCCAGAAACTTTTTAAAATTCGAGGAAAACATTTGCGCACGCAAAAACGTGTATTATGGCTTTGATCTCCGGCGGCACTGCGCAGAGTCCGAACGCCCACGCTACCAATGCGTCAGGCTCCACCTCCGGGCCTCGCGACTCCAGATGGGAAAAGCCTCGACTCGGTGCGCGTCAGCGTATCTCGCAACAGGCTCGAATTTCCAAAATCACACGACTATCTGTCAAAGTAACGAAGCTGCGCAAGGAGGTCGCCATTTTAGGCGCCCCTACTAACCGTCCCGAATAAATGGTGGAATGGGTTGACGGCTAACGACGACGGTGAGTTCGCCGCTGTGCGGCGCTGAGGGGGTGAGGAGGCCGCCCGAGGGGATTTTATTATTATGCCCAGAAGAGCGCGGCCAGTGGCCAAATATTTCCGAATCAGCGGATCAACGTACCCCC